CCTGCCTCTGCCTCCCGAGTGCTGGGATTAAAGGCGTGTGCCACCAACGCCAGGCATACTAGAAACTTTTTAACTAGTAAAAGTAATTTTGAAGTAGGGCGGTGGTGGCACACGCCTTTATTCCCAGCACTTGGGAGGCAGAGGCAGATAGAGGGATCTCTGTGAGTTCGAGGCCAGCCTGGGCTACAGAGTGAGTTCCAGGAAAGGTGCCAAAACTACACAGAGAAACCCTGTCTCGAAAAAAAACAAAAATTTTTTTTTATTGGAATTAAGAATAAGTGCTTCAAATTAGTCATATACTCTTTCTTTGGTCCAAGTATATTTTGATAAAAGTATATTTTGGAAATTAGGGTTTATATTTTAAATCTGAAGTAAAATTTTCCATAAAGGGAAACCACAGTTCTTGAGAAAATGCAAGGACGCCACTTTTAGAAGCTTAAAACAATATTAATTGTGAAATAACAAAAAGCCAAATGGAGAAAAAAAAACATTTGAATGTTCTGAGTATAAATCACACAAAAAGGCAATAAGAACAAATATACATGGGGTTCAAAACCAAAGTTAGCCCAGTATGGTGATGAGGACAAATATAATGGCTTTGGGGTTAGAAACTATGAATTCCAGGAGCTGCATACTGATATTCTTTATGTGTTCACGAAGTCCAAATTGTTTACACATTGATTTGTACGTTAAATTTTCAAAAGATGGTGCTCCATTAAATTTTTAGCAGTAATTATGTTTTAAAAATGTAATTTGAGAGCAATAAACGCGCTCTTTATCAAACAGCCCTCCTCAAGGCTCGGGAATCTATGGGGAAGAGGAGGCAATGGAATGTTTGCAAGAGTTGTTAAGTGGTGTACGACACCAAAGCAACAGCATTCCCCCCCCCCCCCCAGGACTGAAGTACATAGGAGCTCACACACAGAGCCTGTGACAGCATGGGCAAGGCCTGCCTGAATTCAAGGCAGACACAATCCCAGCCTGGAGAAGGGGGAGTGGGTCCAAAGTCCCACTCCTAACCAAGAAGCTATTTGCAATTGATACCTGCTGGGAGAGGGACAATCCGTTTTCTCTAGGGGGGGGGTGACACTGCCTCTTTCAACCCAACTCCAGCTTAGGCCTCATGCTCAGGAATAGCTGAGCAACACAAAATGGACCCCATGTTATTTTGTGTGCTTTTATGATCTGGTGTTTGTGTTTGTTGTTTGTTGCCTTGGTTTCTGAGCAAGAAAGAAAGAGCACCGAGTTGAGTGTGGGTTGGGGGGTGAGGAGCACCTGGGAGGGCTGGGGCAGGGGAAAGAGCATGATCAAAATATAGTCTGAGATTTTTTTTTTCAAAATAAGCTAATATAAAGTAAACAGCTCTAACCCAAGTGATTTTAGTTCTTTAACATGGTCATTTTCCCCCAAGTCTATTCATTGTACTCATAGGAGACGTTTTTGAAAAATGCTCCTGTTAAATATGGAATGATCTTTCCAGTCTTTAATAATATCTTTTAAAAGTGCCTTCTAGAGACCTAAATAGATATGGCAGGGACCTGAGGAGAGTTCCAGAAGACAGAATGACATATTGAGAGGTGGCTCCTTATTTCAAACAGGTATCAAGAGCAACAAGAGTACAACCAAAAGGTTCATTGTAAGAAATGGAACCTTCACTCACTGGGTCGTGTGTCTTCACAGCTGAGCAACAAGAATATAAAGAATGGAAATGGTCTGAATGACTGCAAATATGCAATCACCATAAACGATTCCATTCCTGCGGTGACCAAGGGGCAGGGAATTTCAACTGGGTAGTCACTAAATTCAAGTATAGATTACTTTCTTTCACAATGAACACACACTGAGAAAAGCACAGTTTTTCAAAGAGGATCCAAAAAGGTGCTGGGGGTTGGAAGCTGTTGGATGAGTGGGCTAAAAGTATTGTATAAATAGAATTACCCTGATCAAAAGTATCTTATTAGCAAGTCTCTAGAAATATCCTGTCTATGCAGGCAACCCCTTGTAAATTATATAGGAAATGGACATAACTATTTTAATTTTCTACAGTTGGTGATTCCTCACTACTGATTCAAAATGTCCAGTAGTGAAAAGTCAACTGTAAAATTTTCTTGAAAATTAAAATGGTTTTCTGTCATAGGAAAATACAGGAAGCTTCTATCCTAGGCATGTTAGATGACGTTTTGAGGGCTAAAAGTACTGTATGCAGAAAAGAAAGATGTAAAGTCTCAAATTTTTCTTTTTCTTATTTTAATTTCAAACAAATCGCCTGAGTCAACGTTTACCAAGAATGGCTCACTGCCAAGAACCAACGCTGTGAATGAGAAAACAAGGGGAAAAACATAAAAAGATGCCCCCCCACCCCATCCCCCGCCACCCCCCGCCCCGCCAGCTGGTAGAACTCTAAAGGCCTCCACTAAGAAACAAACCACAAGCCTGACATCAAAAGCGCGCACGCACACTCACGCACAAACACATGTAAAGGGTGTTTAAAGGAAAAACACCACCCAAACAAAACATCACAGGGCAGACAGACACGCACGCATACACGCGCGCATACAAAAAGCACACCCTCTATGAAGAGCAGGGCAAGCAGTTAAGGCACCTTTCACGAAATCCCATGCAGCTCTGGCTGACCGCAAGATTTTTACAGTGTCACCAAGAAGCGATTAGAAAAGCATGTGAAAAAACGTGCAAATTGTCTGCAAACAGAGCCTGGCAACAGAGACAGTTTGCAAGCGTGATTCAGAGGTCTGCCTGCCAAGGAAACAAAAGAAGCCTCCCTCCTGCCCGTGCGGGCGCACAGGGCAGGAGAGGTGCTCTCCTGGCAGGCAGGCAGGCAGGCAGGAGGCAAGTGCGGGGAGGCGACAGGCGGGAGTCCGGGCGGGCGGGAGCGGTACATACTAGGGCTCGCTCTCCGGCAGGGACGGGGCGGCCGAGTTTCCATTAGTCGGGGAGCCGCCCAGCTTCAGTTTCTCCAGGTACTCGGCATGCACGGGCTTGTGGCACTGGAGGACCTTGATGGCATCTTCGATCTTGAACCACTCTCGCTTCCTGCCGATGCTGACCGAGTCTTCCCAATCCTCCAGCAGCTCGGTGACGGTGAGCACGAACACGTAGGTCCGGTGCTTGCGGTCCTGGTTCTGCTCGAAGACACCAAGCAGCCGGCCCAACTTCCCCTTGACTCCCGCCTCCTCGTACACCTCGCGCACCGCCGCGCCGTCCGGCTCCTCCTCGGGCTCCATGCCCCCGCCGGGCACGATCCAGCGGTCGGGGTAGCGGCTGCTGCTCACCAGGAGCACCTCGTCTTCGCGCTCGCTGCGGAAGCACAGGCACGCGGCGCGCTTCTTGAAGCCCTCGGGGTCGTAGGTCCGCGTCTGGTTCGGCTTGCACTTCATCCTCGCCCGCTGCTGCTGCTGCCGCCGCCGCCGCCGCCGCCGACTGTGTGTGGTCGCTTGCAGATGCCGAGCGGGCCGCCGCCGCGCAGCCGAGGAGGAGCTGCTGCGGGCAGGGAGAGCGAGGGCTGCAGAAGAGAAGAGCAGAGCGGAGTCTGAGCCGAGCCCGAGCCCGGGGAGACTAGGCGGGGGCGGGCGCGGGGGCGGGGGCGAGCCGGCGCGTCAGTGA